AGAATGAGAGAGAGAAAGTGAGAGAGATTATAAGTTGGTTAAACCTTGTAATAACTTTACCTGAGACTTTCAAACGCTATTTTTGTTTAGAGGACGTTTCTACATTAAAAAACATCTGTCTTGACTTTCCTGTTTCCCCCTACCTCTGCTTTACAAACTCTATTTTTCTATTTTTTTAAAACTTGCTACCATTGTGATCGGTCAAGACAGAAGTTGTTATTTTTTCCCCACTCATCCACATCAATGGAGCAATCTTTCGAAAATGTCGTCAGTGTTTTTATATCTTTTTGGGGGGCACCTATGTTCTGCCTTCCACATACCAATTCTAAATAGAAAATAGTTTCGGGGAGTTGTGTGTTTGGCATTCAGACAAAACGTCTCGCCAGTTAAGTTGGACTTTCTTCGGTGGCAGGAGATGCTACAGGTTTTCGCCCTATTTAAAACTATAGTTTCGAAAATCTTACCTTTTTCTCACACAGGACAGTTGAAACTTGCCGTGCTTTTTGACCTGTTTTGTACTCTGTTCAGGACTCATTTCCATAATATCACAATAGGATTGATAATACAACAACGCTGGACACACTAATTTGGCTCTGTACGTACGAATACCAGAGACGTCCCAAACTAATTCTCAGCCTACCAAATACAGAGCTAGCTTTCCCTATCCTGGAGGCAAATTCGGCATCAATCATCGCATTAAGAGAAAGCATACTACCAAGAAAGGTGAAATTCGCCATTGCTTTGAGCTGGCTATCAAGCACTTTGATGACTAGGGGAGCAAAGTTTGTTGAGTTTGGAGCAGGTTGTTTGAGGCTTTCTTCTACCCCAGCTCTTTTTCATTAACCCCCCTCCCCCCACACACACACATACACACACATACACACACACACACACACACACCAAAGCCCTTTTCTGTGACCAGAGGACGTAAGGAGCCAAACATTTACAAGAGTGGTTCTGAAAACTGCATTGCTCACTCCACCCTCCCCTTCCCCTCTCCTTACCAACCTTTCCCTCCTCGTTCCCTCATATATTCCCAAAGAACAAAAGAAAGGGGGTCTCAAACACTTACAAGAGAGGATCAGAGAAATGTGTTGCCAGCTCCCGCTTTTCCCACTCCCCTGTTCCATCTCCCTACCCCCCCTCCCCACACCACTCACACACTCCAGCATTTCCCAAAAATAGGGCTCTCAAACATCCACAATAAAAGCAGATTAGAGTATTGCCACCGACCACACCCCACCCCTCAGACACTCCCTCA